TGTGCAAATTCCTGTGGCACCAACAACAAGGTGAAGAGAAACTGCTTTGCCACTCAGAAGAAACTGTTTCAGGTCACTATCCAGGGTAATATCTTAAAGGCTACAAAACAAACCACAATCAAGAGTACAAGATAATTTTTTTAAAGGCAGTTGACAGAAGGCATTTAAGATACTGCACTGTTTTTCCACAGGATACCAAATAAATATAAATGAAAATCAAGAGTAAATGAGATTAGATAGGTCTAGACTGAGCTACACCCAGTCTCATATATAGGAAAGCATACAAGACCCTAGCCCAAAAGAAACTGCACAGTAATGACCGTTTCTCTCCTGTTCTACCTTGCTCAAACACTTACTGCATCTGTATCAGCAGCATAGTTTACCACCTCCTCATCCCTTGATTCCCACCCATCTTAGCCCAGCATGTGCCTTGAGGAAGAAAAACTGATATCCCACCCACATGCTTCTCCCTTCTGCTGGGTTGCTCATCCAGCAGGCCCTAAGGGATATGCCTCTTCCCAAGGCATGCCTTCTGCAGGCACATGGGGACTGAGGGGGTTTTTATCCTCCCTTACTTTTCTGCATAACCACCTACTACTCTTCTGCATAACCACCTACAGCCAAACAACAACATAGCTCAGAAAGAAACTGGATGAATGGTGGAAAACGTTCCCTTTTTCCTCCCCATGAACAGGATGAAAAACATCATCGGACTGAACAGACTAATGAAACGAATCCTGTTTTGCTCCGCTGACCTAATCTGTTTGCTAAACACTGCAATTTTTAGGATATCAGAAAATTCTGTGGTCAGTTGTTTGGTCAGGCTCACACAGCCAAGCTCTCACTGTCTAGCAGTTTGCCATGGAGCAGTAAGTTAAGCAAGATGCCCTACACTCACAGGAGCTGCAGCTTATACAGTCAGGAAATCCAAGTATGCTTTTCAGAACATTTACATCCAGGGTACTTTTCCCATTCCTAAAGAGAGCACAGAAACAAAAATATCCCCAAGACAAAAACAAATCGAATTCAAAGGAGTAGGGGAGTAAAGACCCTTCCATCCTCTTCTCACTTGTATACATCATTGTAAATAAAGAATATATTAAACTGGTGGGTGAGCCAATTTCAAGCCTTCTCTTTCCACCCACAGCCTTTGTTGCGTTTACCTCTGTTCAGTCATTCATTCATGCTCCCTCAGCCACTCGCCCACGTATGTTCCTTGCTGACAGCCCAGCTGCACATATGCGTTCAGAATTACAGTAACTGCTTTTGTGATTTTGGAACTGAGAGAATAAGAGAAGCAGTGGAGAGAGCAGGCTCTGAAAGGCTGCACAAGATGGACCGCTGCAGGTTTACATCGTGCTCACATGTAATGTGCCAGTGTTCAAGCTTATTGATGCAAAGCCACTGAAACAGCCCCCAAGGGCTATTTGCAAGAGCAAGTACTTGCTAATTTTAGATCTGGAGGCAGCATCAGTAACCATCAAACATGGAAAGTGGGGTTTTCAAAGAAGCTGAAGGCAGCTGAATTCAGAGAGAATTACATGCCCACTTCTTTTAGGCCCATTTGAAGAGCTCAGCCTTAATAGCTATGAAAAAGGCAGCTCCCCACTACAGCGGGCACTTGGAGGTACTTCCCCCCTCCCCACTCCCGGCAGATCCATCGCACAGGAATACCCAGGCAAATCGCACCATCCTTTCCGAGGACAAAGGCTGCTGCCAGGCCCCACGTGCTCCACGGCAGGCCGGCGCTGCCTGCAGCCTTACCAAGCAGAAGCCTCCTGCTGCTGAGCAGCGCGCTCTCCCCAGAGCGAACCAGTACTGACAGTGCTTCCATCCCAGCTCCATGGGTTTCATTACTCAGCAGGCTAGCGAGAGCCCAAATGCATTACCTGGGACAGGGAAAGGGAGAAGTCACCCCTTTCCCTTTTGACTGCGTTTTCTCCACTACACCCGCAGTACCACTAGCTGACTGAAAAGGACTTCTAACCAGTATGACAGACCAGACTTGGAGACGCTTTGTGGATGCAGAAGCAACTAAGAGCAAGAGAACTGACACCTACCGCACATGGATCAGGTGTGGATGAGAGCTGAAGGTAAATTATTTACTTCTTGTGCCACATTATCCAGCCCTTCTTTCATTCACAACAGATTTTTCTGGCTCTTCCTCTGCTCAGGAAAACACCCCATCTTGTTTGGAGGAAGGCCTGGGCATTCCCCTCCCTATGTATTTCACTTCACCCCTAACAACCCATATCCCAAACCATGGATCATTACTGAAAATACTGCGAAGTTTTACACAATATGGGAGTTTTCTTCTACAGACATCAGTAGAACTATGACAGTGGGACATATCCTGGCACTCTCTTTTTTCTTACATTTTTCTAGTAGCATTTCTTCCCTCTCTGAGTACAGAACAAGCTGCAAAGCTATACGCTTTTGCCTAGAAAAAGGAAGAATCCAGTCTGACCCAGCAGCAAGCTATGCAACATCAGCCCTGCAAGCAATATTTCAGGCACTCAGAAACCCGCTTCATGCACTTAGGTGTTACCAGTGTGACTTAACATATTTGATAGGCAAAGGGAAGACATAATGTGACACAAACACGGAACATAATAGCAGCAATGACATCATTTCCTTACTTCATCTTCATTATTTGACAGTTCACCATGTTTCTAGGATGAAACCCACAATCTCTTTTCAGCTGATGCGCTCTACTGATTGCAGCGACACAGACTACAGTAAATTCTCCAGTAACCAGACTGTAACAACCCCCAGTGCTGCTACAGATTGAAACTGTCATTTTAATCGATTTGGTTTACTGAGTAGGGAAAAAGGGAAAGGTTTCTTATGAATCATCATGTCTCGGTGCAGCAGAGGGGCTGAATTACAACTCAGCTAGATAACCAGCAGTGAACACAAAACACTGTATAGCAACATGATACGCAAAGCATGAAAAAATAATTAGCAAGGGAAGGCTTTCAACCCAGAACGCACGAAACCAAGCTCCTAAATTACACAGGCCACTAAATAAGTATGCCAGTTTCAAGTGCGGTGACTACCTGCTAGGGCTATATTGCAAAATTTATTCTCATTTCAAAAGAAATGAGGAGGGAAGAGAGGGATGCTTTTACTGTTAAAATGTCAGCTGAGACTTAGGCAGCAAGGTGCATTATCCTAGCACAGCAGTTACAGCATACGGCTTAATTCCATATTGCTGCCTTGAGAAGCCAACTGTACTTCTCCAGGTGGGTCGCAGCCAGCGTGGCTGCCAGCGGGTCCCTCCTCCACCTCCCTTTCTTGCACTCGCTGCTGCCTGGACACTAGCTGGCTGGCTAGGTTTTTTGTGGATCCACTCGAAGCAGCTTGAATCCCACTATGGGTGTGTGTATATAGCACCGCAGAAGGTTTGGCCGAATGACTAGTATCCTCACGGGGTGAGGTCAAGCTCAAAGACTCACCCTAAAATCTAAGCAATGGATTTGGAGCCCAAATGACTTTACTGTCCACTGTCTAACCTGAGCCGTTTGGCCACATGGTGGCAATTCACTCCCATCCTGAGGTATCTACCTCTTGTTGCATTGTACAAAGGACCAAATACCTATTTGTAAGGAATTAGGGATGCAACATCTAGAATTTCAGCACTGAGAGGCTGAACATCACAAGGCCTTAGTTTCATTAGGAACCCAGCCTTGTTAGGCCTACTTAGGCTATTAGCAGTTTTCATCTTACTTCTAAGAAATATAAAACCCCTCACAGCGGGCTTCAGGTGCTGCTAAAATAAAAGGTTTACATTTGCAAGGCTAAGACGTAGGGGAGGATTACAGCATGTGCCAGATATCTTGTCCAGGACAAAGAATGCAAGTGAGCTTGGGTAAGGGGATAAAAGCTCCATTCTCAACTATTGTGTCCTAAATTGTTTACTTGTTGCTGAGATGTAGGACACTTTTTCAACTCTACAGCTCGCTTCATTGCAGAGATGAGTGAATTCATGTTATCCATAATCACTGCAAGCCTCCTGGAGTCTAACTCTTCACTGGGAAAGGCATCTAGCAAATTTAAGATATTTCTCAGCAGCAGCAGGGGAAGTAAATAATGGGGGGAGCACTCTTCAGATGCTTAAAGATAGTTAAATAAACGAGGCTTAAAAGCCTTTATTGTGAAATCACTGTTGCCAGTGATTAACATATTCTAACAACATAGCCTCATGTTAATCTCCTTCAGCAGACAAAGAAACATTACATTAACCTGCACTGTTTGTTCATAATTTTTAAACTGAGATTTCATAAGCTACTCTAGGACACAGTAGTCTCTAGAGCTCCAGTGTAAACGGAATCACTTTTACAGACACCCACAGCCTAAGGAGGGCAGGCTTTAAATTAGTACCTTGCATTAAATGAAATGGCTTCTCATTGTGCTCATTGCAAAATGTGAATTAACAGAGCAAAATAAGTAGCTGTGCTAGCAAATTATTTTATAATTAATCACACCGTCAGAAACACCCTTTGCTTTCTCCTCCCCACACTCAGGCACCTGCATTGTAGTAAAACTGGCACAGACTTGCCTCAGAGAGCACTGTGCTGTTGAAGGCCATTTTAATGATTGTATCAGGAGAATTCAGGCTTCTGCAAGATTCTGGGGGGTTTTTGTTTATTTTTAAGTTCTGAATATTAGAGAGTTCAGTGCTCCATCTGTGGGAGCAAAAAACTGGATTGATGATGTAAGAATTTCTCTCAGCCTTAAACTAAAACGTAGAAAATAATTATTAAAAAAAAAAAAAACATGGAGAAGGCTCAACTCAGCAGATAGATTGCACTATGCCAGTCCCAATACTAGATAGGAAAGAATAATTTGTAATTGACAGCTGATACAGTCTTTGTTAATCTTAGCATTCATCTAGAATCTGACTTCTACTTTAATACATTTGCTCAACGTTTTGGCAAACTGTTTTTGATCAATAGCATTTGCTAACAGCAAATTTTTGAACTGGCAGCATAACATACCTTCAGCTTCTTTTCATATCTGTGTTGAGATGGACAGCTCCTTCAGTCACACCTCTGTTTTTCCAAGATCTTTGCGATGCATGCCTAGAATGAAAAAATATGGTGCTACATAGAGACTCCCATGGTTGTCCAGGTAAGGGGAGCTGCAGCTACGTGTGGCTAGCCACACACATTAAATGTGGTATTCCACATATAGTAAACAGGTCTAAGGCTAATTAGACTGCACAGGGCGGCATACTAATGCTGATTGCGGAGCCTCAACCAGCATCAGATAATTTCTGAGCATCACTGAGGTGTGTTGTGTTGATAAACCAAGTCTCTTTCTTAGTAAGCCTAGAAAAATGATCATAAGAAGCTTCAGAAGACTGAAGTTACAAGGCATCAAGATTCCAGGTGGAGTTTATGTTCTGAAATCAGGCACACTGTTCATTCCAGTTTGAATAATCTATACATCCTCTTAATTGGATAAATTAATTATTATATAGAGAGATACAGATATCTATTATGTAGCTTACTTGGAAGAAACACTCAGCTATCACTTTGATTAATTCAGTAACAGATTCTGCTGAAACTGCAACTGTTGCCAAACAACTAATGACAATTTTAGATTACAGTAAGAAACTGATGGAAGATAAAAACGAAAACACATTGTCATTTATAAAAATCAGTTGTCTCCTCTTCAGATAACATTCTTTAACCACCCTCACATACCAAGCCCTCCAGTCTATTGTTCTTTTCCATGTCTTAATATGTAAGTTAAGAGCACTACAGGAAAACTGTACAAGACTAGAAAGAGCTCACCATTGTTAAAAGAAGTCAAGTTTGAAAGGATAGCAGCAGAATATGTAAAGCTATAGAAAGAGTAAACTTGACATATCTATTAACGGTGCCTTCACAATACAAAACAAAAAGGTCTCCAGTGAACGTAACAGGCAACTTTAAAAACAATAGAAAAGAAAGATGTACAAATTAGTCACTAAAGGTGTTTCTAAAACTACAGTTAAGGCCAAAAATGCAGCAATTTAAAAGAATATTGACGTGCATAGGTAACAAGATTTACTTATTCATAAAACAGATACCTCAGGACAGGAGCTAACCACTGGATTTGGGGAAAAATCATCTATAACAGATGCTTTATACTTATTGGCATCACAGTTCTCTATGTTCCTGTCTACTCTTTAGAGCAAACATAATATTAGCCTGTGCTTATCTTTCCACCTCATAGCATGCAAAACCCCCAGCTAACAGTAGGAGAAAGCTGCTTATCTCTACCACTGCTGCACTCTGCTCTCTTTTTATTCTGGAACCTAATGTATTCAAGAAAACATTTAGATATAAAGAATCCCAAATCTTGCTTTAACTCATCCATAGGATTATGATGTACATAATATTTCCAACCAATTTCTTAAAGGTAAGGGAAACTGCATCTGATCCAGTTTGTAATTTTAAGCAAAAAACTTGAGAAGCAGTACTACAAGCCATGATAATGAACACAAGCATTCAAGCGTCCTTTAAAAATCCGCCTGAAAGCAAGAAGTACAACACAGCTTTGTTGTCAGGTCTCAGCGACAGGAGTAACATTTTGAGACCAGCAGGAGTTAAAGGCCATAGGTATTCTCCTCCCTCACTGTGCAGCCCTACCACAGACAGGGAGCACGCAAGCTGCCTCTGCTGCACCAGGAAGAGAAAGCAAGCGCTGTGGTGGCATTGCACCAAGGAGGGCTCAAGAACACCCACCTTAATTCACCTCTGCACTTCGGGGTAAAACATTGGCTACTAAACCTCTTAACAAGGTCAAAGCAACTTACAAAGAAGCCAAAGAGAAGGCTTAGCAGAGCAACGCAGGCAGATCCCATTCCAAGCAAATGTAGATTTGTAAGGCTACATGCTCATTGCACTGGATGCGTTACTGGTTAAAAGATATCAAAATCAAGAATTTTTTTTGCTATCTAATTTTTTGGGTTACATCCCAGGAGCAAATGAATAACAAATTCTTGCAGCGGGGCAATCTTATTCCGAGTTACAAGGAGTACTTTTTAACTATTAAAGGTTCTTTTTTTCCCTGAGCTGACCTTTTACACTAAGTGATATCCTGTTACTCAGCTCATCCATCCCTATCTGTTCTTCAGTAGTAGATGACCTCAGCAAGCCGTACTCACGCCACATCTCCCTCAGAGTTCAACCAGTCTGGAAAAGGAACGTTTACTGTAAGTGAAAACATAACGGTAACTGACAGATGTACTGTTTGCTTTGACACGCCTTCCTCTAGATCCCTCTTCCTCTACTGAAAGGAAAGGAAAGGTTTCAGTGTTTTCACTTCAAGAATAGTAGACAGCTCCAAATAGCTATTCTGTATGATGAAACTGCTATTTCCTTCCCTCTCAACTGCTATTAGAGTTTTATTAAGGTTTTGGCTTTTTAAACAATCATTTATAAAGATATTACACAAACATAGACACTTGATTTTCCTTTAAATAATCTGTTATACATAGGACAGCTACTGGATTAGTGTAACTTACTGTAGTAGAGAGACACTGAAGAAATTCACTATTTCACACCACATCCTAAATCATGCCTGACACGTCAAGAGGATGTTAGGACACATTAGTAAATCTTACCCTCTTCAGAATACAGAACCTGGTTCTTCGTACACACAAATGCTATGCTACTTGTGTAAAATTGCTTCCAGTAGAAGACAAAATAATTCACGTCCATTTTGGTGTTGACAAAAGGAATTTTATAATGGTGCTATATACATTAAAAAAAATGGATGATGCATTTTTATACGGTGCTGTTCTGTGTATATGATTTAAGGGAATGCAAAATATTTATCTAACCCATCCCCAAATTTTTCATTTTCTTTTTGTTCCTTCTGTTGAACTTTTGCAAACAGATTAGTCCTAGCACATCTGCAGTCCTTGCTCTTTGATTTACATCAAGGTAACATTTATTATTTTTATCTTATGACAAAATAACATCTCTCCCAGAAGAGACATTCCAATCACATGTTCACTATACAGGGGTCTGTCAATCATTAGCTAGTACAAACATGAAAGTCTCTAAGGGGAGCCCTACAGCTAATCCTCCTTCATCTTGCACTTTGGATACTCGCTCAAACTTTTGCGGTCAGGCACAAGATATTGGTCTATTTTTGTACATTTTTACTGCTGTATGACCAATGAGTCAGTGAGTAATCTAGGCCCTTCATTTTATGAAGGGCAGCAGCTGGGGGAGTTTGTCTAATTTCAGTGGTAATTATGCATTTTGGCATAGGTACAAGCTTTGTTGGGACACAGACCTGCAGCATTTGGCTTTGACAATGTAAAAAGTCAAAACAACTTAAAGGACTACCTAGAAGTTTTTATCCTGCCCATAGCAGTATGCTGGAAATGCAACTCACAACAGGTGATTGCTACGCTTCTCCTGAGCAGATTCATGATTCCTAACTGTTGCTTGAACCAGTTTGGAATCAGGTGTCACCAAGTACACAGAGACACTTTATCCTCTCTCTATTTCCTCTCTCTCCAATTCCTAGCTCTTCTCTCCAACACTGAAGTACTGGAACCACTCTTTCCCCCACATTCACCTTCCCTATTAAAAACACAGTGAATGTCATATGCACAGTTTTCAAACTTTTTAGTGGAGAAGTGGGGGAGGGAGGGGGGAAAAAAAACACTATTTAACACTATTACCATGAGAGACTATTTGAATAGGAGCCCTCCACTCATAAACCACAGGCAGATTATGTTGCTTTGCCTCAAGCTTACTTAGTGAACAGATCATAACAACTTTCACTGAATGTAGCATAGGTATTACTTACGGAGAACAGTGGTTCAACTTACCCTGAAAAGAGGAAATAATATTCAGAATAGGATGGAATATAGGAAACATTTAGTATAATTTATAGCCATATGAAGGCAGGAAAAAGAATCGAGTGTGGTTATACACGTTACACTGGTGGCAGAGGGGGTTGGTTGGGTGGTTGTCCATTGGCGTTCCTGACAGTCCTACCTCTTGCAGCCTTTCTTTAGGTAACTCATAAAAAAAGAGAAAAGATTTTTTTCCCCCCCTCACTTTCCTCTTCTCTCCCTTCTGCAATACCCCAAAAGCCAGTTTAGCAAATTATATCTCCTGAAAAGAAAAGGCAATTTCCAAATTTATGAAAAGGCAGTTATGCCAGTCATAAGGAGAGCTAGAGTCTGTACTTTACAACCAGCTTGGACATGTTTCTCTATGAAGACTAACTTCTACAGGTTAGCATACACCAGAAAGCCATCTTATACCTGCATTCACTCTATAGATTTAATAATCCAAAATTATATATTTTTTTTATCAGGTTCCAATGGTTTTGTGCAAATTACAGAACGGACTTTTCCCAAGAGGTCCTGTGATTAGCCTCAGAAGAAAAAAAAAAATTTGAAATCACAGATGCATCTGAAGTATCTCTTATTTAAAAAAAAAAAGGGGGGGGAGGCTTCCAACAAGGGCAAAACTGGCATTGTTGGGATGGTCCAGACCTCAAGTCTATTTTTTTAGTTTAGAAACTATTCTAATACTTGTCAGCACTAGCTGCCTTAGTGAAAGACTCAAAAACTTCTCCTAAAGTAACTCGTCAGAGAGAATTTTCTTTCAAACCCCTAATAGAGGTGTTTGTTTTTTTTTAATGACTTAAGCAAGTGACTGAAGTCACAGCATCATTCTGTAAGTGCTGTAAGTATTTGATACAGAAGATAGTAATTTGTACTACAGAAGTGTTGCTATCACGATCAGATTCCCCTTAGACAAAGAACTGTGGTTCCAGATTATGAGTGTCCCTGCTCAGAATAGTTTACGTTGGAGAAAGGAAGTGCTATCTCTGAATTCACATAAGCTACCTTCAGGAAAAACATGAGCAACATGAGACAGAAAACACCTTTTATTTACATAATATGAATATGTATAGTATACACAGTGCAACTGCAATCAAAACACAGACTAATTCTGCAAATGTAAATACGAGCTCCCACAATTAATCCATTATATGATTTGTTGGCTAGAGGCTTAACTCCATTTTCAGTAAGTATTTAATTTTGCAACTAGTGTCT